TTTCCAAAAAAAAAATACCGAGAAATGCTCGGTCATCCAGGTACTATATACAAATAACATACAATATAATATATACAAATCATCCTTCAATTATATATAAATAGGGTTGCGTTCGGAACACAAGATCTAAAACATTAAAATGTACAAAAATTTACTTATCTTTTTATTTCAATGTTATCTTTATATTACTGGTAGAATTGGCCGACGAATAAGAAAAATATAACTCAGATTAGAATAAGCTATTTATTTATAAACAATAAAGCACGGAACAGAAAAAAGGATTTTAGTAACTGAATATGTTTCTGAACGCACCATAAGGTATGACGTAGTAACGAGTGAACTTGATCTTTACAAAATATAACAAACTAATAATGTGTGTCTGTCTGAAACTGTTTGCAAAATGCGTAAAGGGTGTTTAATGTAACCCGGCAAAATCATATTTAGCAAATGTTTGCAAGTTTAATTTTGTGACTACTTTGGTAGTTTACCGATTTATAATAATTGTATTTATTGTTGACCAAATACATATTCAAACACATTCATATATGAAACACTGACACGTATGAGGTAGGTAATCAGTATTGTGACGATATTTCAGAAAAATCACGGGCCAGCCTGCTGTTAATAATACTACCGAAAACATAATTGCGTTTTTAGAATAATTAATTACTATACCTACGATAAATTACAATATAGTCTCACATATATAGGTACTAGAGAAATATTGCAATTCGAATCAAGGAAAACATACATACAAAATATGTATAATACACAAGAAATTCCGCGCGCAAATCATAGCGCGTGACAACCGAAATCAGAATATTATATTTTATAACAAGTCAAACAAGTGAACGTACGTAAGTTTGGCAACGCTTTTGTTTCGTCAATTCAGGAATACGTTAGTACCGTAGACTTCTTTGTCTACGGTTAGTACTCTTATCAGTGTGTTGTCAGGAAGGACGGCAACGTCGCTTTACCTACGACTTTTGGTATTTATGTTGCCACACAACGATAATAAGTAATAAAATTGTTTACAAAAAAACATAGGTGGCTAAGGTCATTAGTTTTATGTTATTTTATACTGTTTTTAACGGTTGGAAAGTAAATTAACCAATTATTCAACTTAAGATATTGATTTATCAGAATTATTTAAGATCACTTGGATGCCATCTAGCGTGCCAATGTTTAAACGTCGCCTTTCGTTTGCTTGTCAAAAGTCAAGCACACTACTAAAGAAGTGTCAAATTTTTCCGGGATTTCACTATTGTTTTTCTCAGTATATAATGTAAGTTATAATTGCCTATAAAGGTCAGACGCGTACACATTTCATTGTAGAGAAGTGATAAAATAATTAGTTTTAAAGAAAGAGTGTGTGTTTAGTGTATATTTTGGTTAAAAAATGTATGGGCGGACGGTCGAGGCATCCACCTTAAGTATTTTCATGATTTTTTTATGAAATAATCGTTTTATTTAGCTGTACTAACATGATGTAGTGTGAATAAAGCTAATTAAACATTGTGAAAAATGTTGTTTTTTTCACCGGGATCGTTTTTATTTTCGTTCCATCATCAAAGTTTTCTTTAGTACTATCGCCTGTATCCGTTTTCAGTAGCGTTTCAAAAATACCCTGTATGTACGAGTAATAAATACTTAAAAAAAAAGTGCGATAAAAAATGCATTTTAGAAGATATAATATACAAGTTTAAGCTTAATGTGTTCTTTACAAATACACCGGGTAACCTTAAAAGTTTTATCAGAAATGGTTCACGACAGTATAGAATAGAATCTTATAGAATATTTTAAGGGTTCGTGACAATAAAAACCGCCGATTGAATTACCAAAATTGAGACTTTAATTACCGAACACCAATTACAATTTAAAACATACTAATAATCACATTTAACACTTTATTACGCAGTTATATCGCTTCGAAGTATTCGCTTGGATCGCCAATTCAATACTCATTCGGTCGCGTTTCTTACTGTCGGTCCCGACTGATTAGGTGTAGTAAGTACTACGATGGAATTTTCTAGAAAGCTTAGTTCTACTACTCAATACTAGATAGTGCTAGTGCCATGTACCAGGTGTCAACTATGGCGTGCACCACTTCCCCCTACTAAGACATGCTTGCCCCAGACATTATCGGCCCCATAATAACGCGCCAGTCGATCCACATGGACGATCTTAGGAGTACCTCTTACACCTTTCTGAAACGGCCCTGCAACGTCAAGGACTATCCCCTCCCGTGGTGCACCAACATTGTACAATTTCAATGCACCTCTACTACGAGTCTAAGACCCCTTCACAGCCGCACAAATTGTACAATTGCGACACCAATCCTCGAGATTTTCACGACAATGGACCCAGTAAAACCGTTCTCGGATCTTCAATAGAGTTCGTTTAACTCCAAAATGGACTACTGAACAACCATTATGATACAGCTGTAGAACATCCGATACTTTAGCTTTAGGGACAACCATTTGCAAATAACAGCTGTCTCACCGACCATTTTCCCATTGACGGCACAGAACTCCATCCTGAATCAGCAAGCTGTCCCATTGGACCCTATAGCTTTTCGTGGTCGAACTCATCGCTGAGACGTCGCTCCACTTGGGCTTGGAAGCACTGGCCTTCATCCATTCCAGAATCGGCATGATATCCGAATCAACCTACTGTGCATGTTGTAGGCTATTTTCCACTCGATGCTGAGGTGGTCTATCCTGAGCATCCTGACACATACCACTTCATTACCCTCTTGCGTAGTACAATATTTGCAATCTTCAGGACAATTTCTTGACAATGCATCTGCGTTGCCGTGTGATTTCTCGCTGCAATGTTCGATCATAAAGTCGTATTCCTGCCGCTGCTGGGCGGTACTGTTAGCCACACTACCCTCTATAGTTCGGTCACCTTCCCTTTCTACAGTCCGTTTAAGGCAGCTGTATCGAAGATGGCCCCTTTCCCCACAGCCATAACACTTAGGGCTGTATTCTTTATTGCGGTCGCGAACTATAGCTGCTGCAACCTCCCTGACGCGATGGAATGACGATCCTGCTGCACGGTTTTCACCTCCAGTGGACCAAGGCGTCCTTAAGCGTCTTGTGGTGCCCGAGCCTCACAGCTGCTCTGACTTCAAGGTCGCGGATGCCGTCGATGAATTTCTGCACCAGGTTCCTTTCAATGAGCGCAGGTACAGACCGGTATGCTTTTCGATCCAGCTTCTCCATCTCAAGGGCCCACTGCTGCAGGTTTTGGTTGATGCGTTGCACGCGATCTATAAGCTGTGCACGAAAGACGTGTTCCAGCGTGAACGTCGCCATATCTAGCCTCCAATGCCTCAAGGAGCTCGTAAGTCGCGTCCTTACCGGGAGCTTCACGAACGGTTAAGGTCTGGTCGCGCAGGCCAAGTGGGAGAGCAGTCATGGCCTGACTTTTATTCCAGCAGTTCGCCTTCATGACAGCCCCAAACTGGATTTGTAGGCCGACCATGAAGAAGTCCCGTCGAACGGCGGCACTTTGAATCCACGTAGCGAAGGTGTTGTAGCTACTACGGGAGCTGTATTTCCATCACCAAGTTTGAAGTCGTTCAGCGTTTTCTTCATGTCAACCATCACGTTGTTCACTTGATCGATTCGGGTTTCAGCTTCCGACAGGCGGTTGTCATATTGAGCAACCCTATCCTTCACCCCCCTTATCTTTTTACCGAAGGTAGCATGAAGGTCCTTCATGAGGAGCATCTACTCTTCCTTACTGCGTTTGAGCTGCTCTTCCAAATGACGGGCCTGTTCCTCCTCTCCACGTTGCAGCTGTTCTTTCAACCAACGGGCCTATTCCTCATGTCGGCGGACCTGTTCCTGCAGCATCATAATCAGAGCACCTAAGTCTGCTGCAGATGTAGGAGTTGCTGGCGGGTCGGCCTACGTGGCCGGCAGCAGGCCCTCCAACGTCTGCGGCGTTGCACCACCAAATCGTCTCTGGTCTGTATTCTGCTGGCGTTGACTTTCGGTATGGACACCCTCCGTGTCTTCCTTAGGTAAAATCGGCATGATTTTATCCCACTTATGACACCAATTGTTACGAGCTTAGGGTTCGTGACAATAAAAACTGCCAATTGAATTACCAAAATTGACACTTTAATTACCGAACACCAATTACAACTTAAAACACACTAATAATTAATCACACTTAAGACTTTAGTTCGCAGTTATATCGCTTTGAAGAATTCGCTTGGATTGCCAATTCAATACTCATTTGGTCGCGTTCCTTCCTGGCCAAATATAGGCCTTTTCCACTGAAACATCTAGAATGTTAGAGCACATAGTTATGGATACATCCCGTCACTCTGTTTTAGACTAGTATATTAAAATATATTATATTGTATTACTTAGGCTAAGCAATAAAACTAACACATCAGCATTTTATATAAGATTCCTAGTACTTAGTTGATGAGTCGAACGTCTGCATACGAACAGACTCTTTAAAATTGATTCAAATCTCCAAATCGGTGAGACGTATTAATTTAGTTGTAGTTAGTTTTTAAAAACTCCTTTCGACGTTCCCGAAATTTGACTACATACCGGTCCCGACCGACTAGGTGTAGAAAGTTCTAGGATGAAATTTTCTAGAAAGCTTAGTTCTGCTATTCAATACTAGATGGAGCTAGCATAGACTACGACGCGCAATACTTATTGAAATATTTTTTTTATCTACCACTAACGGCATTAGTTGTATGGCGGATTCTATCCCACGACTTTTAAGTATGCAGTCCGGTCACTACCATTAAAGCTATTCTTGTGCCTTATTTCTAACTATATAAATTGTCGAAGGGGCTACACCACATAATAATATAATGATTTGGTAATTAGATTAACCAACTAAAATTAAAGCTTAATTCAATAATTTTATTTTTTCAATAAAACAAATATTTGCACAACACGGACTGTGTTGTGCAAATATTTGTTTTTGTTTTTGTCATTATAAAATAACAACATGGCCTTTACCTGCAGGTAGAGAAAAAGTGCAGAACTCGTTAATGTAACGACAGGGGAAGTTGCCCTTCTTGGTGCGGATGCAACTGGACATGTGCCGCCGGATGGCCGCTGCCAGGTCTGGAGCTGTACACACACAACCAAATATACATATTAACTATTATATAATTCCAAAAATTTTCGCAAACAATTAATATTTTCATCCATCGATCACTTCATTACAGGCTATTAAGGTGATGTGGGCGCCAAAAGCAGATTTTCCAGGCTTTATGGGTGCGCAGAATATGAATCGTGTCATTAAAAACTACGAATTTACATTTTTTTAAATTCATTATGAAAGTTAAAGATTTTTCTTAGTGGATTATGGTCGCCAAAACACGATTGACACATTTTGGCTCGATAGAAAAAGATCGCAGTTTCCTCAAAATCTACAATTTTAGGTACGTCCACTAAGTGAAAAAGCAGTTTCATTCGAATGTAATGAAATCAATTTCAATTAAATTCAGGCTATGTGTTCACCAGTAAATACGTGAGTAAATTATGGGTATATTTTTGAATAAAAGAGTATACATAATTTTAAAAAGAAATATTAAATAAATATTGCGCAATTATATAGCGCGCGGGCCGACCAAAGAGTCCCCGCCAGTCGTCCGCAGCGCAGAGTAGAGAGCACCCGTGTACAAATTTACACACGCCCGCTGTTGTCGTATAAACATAACAATATATTTAAAAAATATTGATAACCGAGGTATGTCATTGAGAAGAATGTAGTGAAAATTTAGGCATCCAAACCGGTTTGCCTAATTTTATATTCATTATTCATTACAGCCCTTCACAAGTCCACTGCTGAACATAGGCCTCCCCCAAGCAAAGCACGGTCCTGAGCCACCTGCATCCATCGACTTCCTGCATATCTTACTAGGTCGTCACTCCATCTAGTGGGGGGTCGCCCTACACTACGCCTACCGGTACGAGGCTGCCACTCGAGAACCTTTCCTCCCCATCGGTTATCGGTTCTTCGAGCTATATGGCCGGCCCATTGCCACTTCAGCTTACTAATCCGTTGGGCTATATCGGTCACTCTGGTTTTACTGCGGATATCCTCATTTCTGAGTTTATCACGCAGAGAAACTCCGAGCATAGCTCTCTCCATAGCTCGCTGAGCTGAAATTTATATATATATATATATATATATGTATATATATATATATATATATATATATATATATATATATATATATATATATCGGAATCTCGGAAACAGCTCCAACGATTTTCATAAAATTTAGTGTCTCCCTGACACCGAGCCTGAAACCGAGCTCTGCTCGGTTTTTCATTCATCTTCGGTCATCCGGATACTCTTTTTTTATATTAATAAATGGTATTCAATTTTTAAAACCCAGAAGTTTTCAATTAAAAAGATTTTAATATGACAGGAACAGTGGAAATATTCCATTCCCGATACTTTTAGTGCAGCCCTCGTAAACATGTAAATATAGGTATTAAGTATGTTTATAATACAAACTGATAAGTAAAAAATTATTATAGGTATGAATAAAGTGACCATTTATTTTTTCCTTAAAGTGGGACGCCTTTAAAATTATTATAGATTTAACACTTTTGACTGCCTTCTTGGTCTAACGGTTGTAAACGCAATTGCAGATCATGTGACCCGGGTTCGAAACCCGAGTTGGGCCAAGAATCATTTATTGGGTTTTTCTGTCACAAAATCCTCAGTAGCAGCCCGGAATATTGATATCTAACTTATTGAAGTTGGCGGGGTTTCACCACCGTGCCTGGAAGCACGTAAAGCCGTTGGTCATGCGCCTGATCTGTCTTCCGTCGTCTCGGATTACTAGATAAGAGTAAGGGAGGAGGGTAGACCTGTACTTGCGCATACACTTGGGCAATATAATCCTGCGCAGATGGCTATTCTCCATTGAGAATGGCCGCCGTTACTAAAATTCAATCTGGAACCCTTTATTATAGTTTTAAAAATAAAACACATTTGTTAGAATATTTCAATGATCAAAAGTGAGAATGAGAACTTAGAATCATATAAAATTGGAGGGGGGGGGGGGTTCTTTTGTCTAATGTTAAATTCAACACATAATACCTGATTCGTCGTTTAGGAGATCTTAACAATATATTCCAGTGTTAATCAATTTGAAAATATGTGAAGCTTTTCTAAGACCAAAAGGCTTTGTTAAGTTCTGAAAATAAAAACTTAAATCTTGTGCCATTTGAGTTTTCGACTGTGAAGTTCGAGGTAGGAACTATCAGAATGCAATAAAAAGAAATAAAGATGTATACATTTCATCTGATCTAATGATATTTTTTTTACCTATGTAGGACGGTGATCGCTTCAAGCCTGGCCCACCGCCTGATATTCGAGATAATAATGTTGATAATATGTCTTGTCTTTGGAATCTGTAAAAAAGAAACATTTTCAAAATTGTAATCTAAGATTTATCTTTCTTCACTTTGGTACATGAAGTTATCCACCCTAATTCAAATACTACCATAATCGCCGTGACCAGTGTGTCTACTACACACTCATGCACTTTATTTCGCTCCGAAGCTTCGCTTGTTTCGCCAAATTCAATACTGCCTCGATCGCATCTTGCAGCGCCTTTAAATACACATTATCACCGAAACATCCAGAATATTCAAGTAAATACGCGCGCCAATCGACCAGGTGCCGAAAGTTCGAGTGGTACTATACGATACTAGATGGCACTATCGGTTGAAAGATTAGTGATGTCATTTTCTGGAAAGCTCTCCTCGCTCTGTTTTTTTTTTTTTTATAGAATAGGCTGACAAACGAGCACACAGTCCACCTGATGGTAAGTGGTTGCTGCGGCCCATATACATCTACATCTATCTTCCATTACAAATCAAAATGCAGATGCGTTGTCACCCGTGCGGACTGAGATGGAATGCCTCATTTCCAGTAAAAAGGGTCTCCGGTTCTTTACACTCACCATACGAACAACAGCAGCATTAAGCTACTATTTCACGCTGGTATTCTGTGAGAGCGTGGTCCTTCCCCGGTCGAGCCGACCCATTCGTGCTACAACTATACTACTAATATAACTGCAGCATGGCTCTACCACGTAAAAACCACGCTCTGTTACCCGACACAGACGGCGCTAGTGCCAGACGTCAACTTAGGCGCGCAACAGGACGATCCTGCCGCCTATGTACTGTTTGATTTCCCTCTGTCGCCTCTCACGACTTCCTACGGTCTGATATGAGACAGTGTATTATCTTACACCACCACTACTTAAACAAGGGCTGCTAGGGGAGCTAGGGGAGCGGCACTGACCTGATGGCAAGGTGCACGAGCGTGTGCCTCACGTCAAAGGCAAAGGCGCAGTCCAGCAGCTGCACCTCGTGAATGTGAGCGGCAGCTAGGAAAGGTAGGGGAGCGGCACTGACCTGATGGCGAGGTGCACGAGCGTGTGTCCCACGTCGAAGGCGGAGGCGCGGTCGAGCAGCTGCACCTCGTGCATGGTGAGCGGCAGCTAGAAAAGCTAGGGGAACGGCACTGACCTGATGGCGAGGTGCACGACCGTGTGCCCCACGTCGAAGGCGGAGGCGCGGTCGAGCAGCTGCACCTCGTGCATGGTGAGCAGCAGCTAGGAAAGCTAGGGGAACGGCACTGACCTGATGGCGAGGTGCACGAGCGTGTGCCCCACGTCAAAGGCAGAGGCGCGGTCGAGCAGCTGCACCTCTTGCGCGGTGAGCGCGCGCGCCGGCGAGCCGCCGCCCGCCAGGTACGCCTCCACGCGCCGCCCCTCACCCTCCACCACGCCTGCACCACACCGTGTACCACTATCACACCGCCATCACAAGATCGGACCGAAGCGAGCACGCATGCGCTCGCTTCCGTTCACTCGGTGTGCACCCGACATTAGGTACACACCGCATTCGCTCGCTTCCGTTCGCTCGGTGTACACCTTTACGAAACACAGTGGCTTTATGCTGCTGCGTTTCGTATGGTGAGTGCAGAGAGCCAGAGACCCTTATTACTGGATACGAGGCATTCCATCTTAGTCATCTGAATCTGTTATCATTACAACATATTAAAGTATACTACTGAACATAGGCCTCCCCCATAGTTTGCCTCATAGGAGGGAGCCACTACTTGTATTATATTGCCATACTTGCCACGCTTGTCAAGCGGGTTTTTCTAATTTATGTCGTTATTAGGAACACGTAGACGAAGATAAATTTTTAAAGAATTCGGATCAAAAACAAGAGTTCTCAAAATGCGAGCTCCTTTTTTCAGTTTTCACCATGAATTCATATTCGTTGACCACTTGGACATCATATATGCTCATGCTCCAGTTCACAAGGTTAGATTCCGCTAACCTCATGGATAACAGAGGGCGTAAGGTTGGCAATGTCTAGACCATAGAATACTATAATACACGATAGAATGGCTGTCAACCTTATTTTGTATGAGAATCGGTGTCGCCAGCAGCACACATACAAGCGGTTACGTTGTATTATCACTAGTAGAAGCCCAATGCGCTCATTGGTAATACGAGTTTTAGTAAACAAAGGTTACAAACGCGTTTTAATATAACATAAAATCTGACTTTATTCCAAGACAATAACAACGGATTCACAACGAATCTTTATAGACCGTCTCTTTTAGAATAGAAGGAGAAGGAATAACTGTGTTAACAGACTTAGCGAATTCGCACATTTTAAACTTTTGATCGATGTTCACAATCATCATTAAAAAACCGGCCAAGAGCGTGTCGGGCCACGCTCAGTGTAGGGTTCCGTAGTTTCCCGTCCGTCACAATAAGTGTTCCCACTTATGAGTTTAAAGGTGGGTATCCATTATGTTCGCGCTCCAGCAGCGCTCCGCGCTCCTGCAACTGATCCCGGTAGTGGGTACTGTAGTTTCCATCCAAGTTCAAAATGATTTTCCTAGAAAGTCCTTATAAAGTTCTACTTTTCAGATTTTTTTTATATTTTCTAAACTTATGGTTCAAAAGTTAGAGGGGGGGGGGGGCACACATTGTTTTTTACTTTTGGAGCGATTATTTCCGAAATTATTGACATTATCAAAAAATGATTTTAGTAAACCCCTATTCATTTTTAAATACCTTTCCAACAATATATCACACGTTAGGGTAGTACTACTACTAGGGCTACCCTAATAAAACATTTTTTCCAATTTTTATTTTACCACTTTGTCGGCGTGATTGATACACATATTGGTACCAAATTTCAGCTTTCTAGTGCTAACGGTCACAGAGATTAAGCGAGGACGGACAGACGGACAGACAGACATAGCGAAACTATAAGGGTTCCTAGTTGACTATGGAACCCTAAAAAGGAATTTTGAAAAATTTAATACATATTTATTTATAGATAGTGTGAAAACTAATTGCAAAATACAATGGAACTAAGTATTGTTTTTTTTTTCTTATTGTAAATAATAAGTTTTCGAACAAGTTTAAGACGCCTTAGCCTTAGCCTTTGTGTAGAGAATCGAATTCCATTTGGCTAAATACAAAATTATAATAAAAGTAAAGTAAAGTTACAGCCTATATACGTCCCACTGCTGGGCACAGGCCTCCCTCATTTCTGAGAGGGTTTTTAGGGCGAGGAAGTATCCGCCGCACTGCCCCAATGCGTGTTGGCGAACTTCACATGTCTTCGAAATATTTTTTTCTTATTCCTCAGACATGCAGGTTTCCTCACGATGTTTTCCTTCACCGCCGAGCACGTGGTAAATCAGCACTTAAAATTACAATTAATAATTTCATTGGTGCCGGCGGGGATCGAACCCGGTTTGCTCCCGTACTGTGAAATTTACAGCGAGCGCTAACCATCTGAGCTACCAAGGCTCCAATAGAGCTTAATTTATTATATTATAAAACACTTCTGTTAATGCTTTATATATATATATATATATATATATATATATACACTCACGCCTGTCACCCAGAGGGGTAGGCAGAGACTACGGACTTCCATTTGGCACGATCCTGACATACCTCTTTCACCTCCTTTACATCCATATATCTACGCATACATGCTCGTCGGTTAAGGGTACTTCTAACGTGGCCCCTTTTCAAAATATCGCCAATTTGGTCGATAAACTTTTTTCTAGGGCGTCCCTTCCCGACTCGGCCGTTCACATCTGCCATATAAATTTGCTTTGTCAGTCTTCCCTCATTCATTCTTTCCACATGACCAAACCACCGAAACATTCCTTTCTTAATCCTGGTCACAACATCATCTTGCATACCACATTTATCTCTTATCACGCAATTTCTCACCCTGTCATTCAAATTCAACCGTAGCATATTGCTGAAAGACCGCATTTCTACAGAATTTATTCTACTTTCGTGCTTCTTCTGCCACACCCAGCTTTCACTACCATACATTAAAGTTTATGATACAGTATTATGAATTACCATACGTGCCTTTTTTGACACATTCTGGTTCTTCATAATAGAGTGTAGTGCCCCATTCACTATATTCCCTGCATTTACTCGTCGTTCTATATCCCTATCATATCTACCATCCCTGCTAAATACACATCCCAAATACACAAACTCATCCACTTGCTCAATTAACTCTCCTTCTATTCTTATTTCACATACCGTTTTGCTTTCTTCTCTTTCAAAAACCATCACTTTCGTCTTACTTGCGTTCACTTTCATTCCCCTTTCTTTTAATTCCCAGTTCATTGATGTAACCATCATTTGCAACTAAGCCGCCGATGACGCAAATATGACTTGATCATCGGCATACAGAAGGCATTTAACGGTTAACTCGCCCATTCTTAACCCACATTCTTCATCTTTCAAAGTTTGCAAACACCTGTCCATAAATAGGTTGAACAGCCAAGGAGAAGCTACGCAGCCCTGTCTGACACCTTTTTGGATGCCAAACCAGTCCGAGTAGACCCCATTGATCCTGACACAAGCACTAGAGTTCCTATAAAGAGACCTTAATGCCTGTATCAAACCAGTGCTCAACCCATATGAGTTCAGTATTTGCCATAACGCATTCCTGTCCACTCTGTCATAAGCCTTTTCCAAGTCCATGAACGCACAAAAACTTTCTGGTTTTTGGCCAAAAACTTCTCCGCAATCATGCGCATGGAAAAGACTTGATCTGTACACCCCATTCCCTTTCTAAAACTCGCTTGCACATCCCAAATTTTTCCATCAGTTTCTTTCATAACTCTTTCAATTAACACCTTAGCATACAGTTTACCCATAATACTAAGCAAGCTGATACCACGGTAGTTTTTGCAGTCCTGCTGTGACCCTTTTCCTTTATATATTGGTACTATAACTGCTTTACACCAGTCATCCGGTACCCGTTTTAATTCCCAACATAAATTAAACAAGGTGTACAGCAGGCCTGCCACCACTCCCTCACCAGCCCTTAGCATCTCGAGTGATACTCTATCATATCCAGCTGCCTTACCTGCTTTCATGCTTTTCATTGCTTTCATTATTTCATCTACACTTATCTCCATACCCCTTTCCACTACTTTCGGAATTTCTAGTTCATTTAATTCAGACGACTCTTCACTCATAAACACACTTTCAAAGTATTCCTTCCATCTGTTTAAATTTGTAACTTCATCATTCAGAATACATCCATTCTCGTCTCTTATAGCATTAATTATAGGCTGTTTTGTATTTCCCCTGGCAGTTCTTACGAGTTTCCAGAACATTTTTATGTTAGCCTGGAAATTATCAGATATCCTTCTATCATTCTTATCCGTTCTTTCTTTCTTTTTCCTTTCAACAACTTCTTTTACTCTCTTATTTAGACGTCTAAAATTCTGTTTTTTTCTTCTTTCAATCTCATCATTCATACCAGAAGAATTACCAGCTTTGGTTGCTAGTAAATCTAACCATGCTTTCTTCTTTGATTCAACTTCCACCCGTACCTCATCATCCCACCACAATGTATTACTTTTCCTTTCATTTGTTCTCTTACTTACACCACATACTTCGGTGGCGGCATCCACCAAACCTTTCTTAATATTATCCCACACAGTATTCAAGTCTAAATCATTCATACATAACTCATTCAAACATCTAATATTTTCTCTCAGTCTACATTTATACTTCTCTTTCACATCTTCATCTTGTAACTTCTCTATTCTTATGCGCTGTAACGCAGTGGTAGACACAGATGTCCGATGCCGCCAACGCTTGAAAAGACCATTAATTCGAAATAAGACCAAGTAATGATCCGTCCCTACGTTGGCCCCCCCCCCCGTAAACCCTTGTATCTACGACTGCGCTCCTCATTCTTTCATCCACAATTACGAAATCTATCATGCTTCTATCATCACCTCTTTCCCATGTATACATGTGAATCTTCTTAGGACGAAAAAAAGTATTCGTCACAAAAAGATTCTTTTCCACACATACGGTGAGGAGGTCTTCACCATTCTCATTTATACTTTCATCACCAAACGTTCCCAATATCCTTTCTAGCCAGACCTCTTCATCCCAACCCTTCCATTAAAGTCTCCTAACATAATAATATTATATTAGTAAATAAATATTTGATAGATTGATTGACGAATTTATGTTGCAGTTATATCATGGTTGCAGTCAAATGGACAAGGACCAAGCATTCATAGAATACCAGTAAAAAAATAGCTGCGTAGCACCGCTTTATTTCATAAGGTTAATATTGAAAATCAGTGACCCTTTACTGGTGGTGGGGCATTTTAAAACACAATTCTTGGTCGTCAGACGTGACAATGTATCTACATTTTAACTCTTAGTCGAGTATAGATTTAGACATCTATGGTCTGTCAATTATCACTCTTATTCTAGCTTGTATTCTGTTAGACATACATACAGCCTAGTCGGAATTCTATAAATATTTCTATTTCCACCAATAAAAATCGATTCATCGACTGTTTTGTTCTGGGTCAAAAAGTATATAAATCCAGTATAAATACAGGCCCTGAAGTATTTCATCTTTCATTATTACATCTTCTCTCGTTGCAGTTGGTTGCAAGAGTTTACGGATCACCAAAAACTATAACCAATAACAAAAACGTTTACATTTACGTAGTATTACAATAAAATCAAACCCCCAATGCTTTCTAGAAGCAGACTTTACATATACTAGAATTGGTTACTGAGCCACAACAGTGTACCTCTCACCTACAAACTCGTGATGTATCAGCACTTATTACCCAAAATATTGATGCTGGTGAACTTAGATTGGCAGTCCACGACTGTGCGTTTTACTAGGAGTTTTCTTCCTCATACGACCCCTGTATGGAATCGTTTGTCATCGATTTTCCATACCGATACTACAAGACATTCAGGAAAAGAATAAAACTTTCTACAAAGGTCGGCAACGCACCTGCAACTCCCCAGTGTAGCAGTTTTTCATGGGCGGCGGTACACATTTACCATCAGAGGAGCCGCATGCTCCGTTGTCTCGTCTCCTATATAAAAAAAACTCGAAGCTAGCACAGCCCCTTCTGGGTTAAGAAACAACAATATTTCACACATTACCTAAGCAAGCTTGAAGCCACAGCCAGTCGAGGTTATTTCTGCGCTTCGACCGCCGGCTGTTGGAGTCCACATCGTGCAGGGAAGCGTTTTGTATATCATTTATACCTTTAAAAACAAAAAAATAAATGCCACTAAATTTTTCACTATTATGGGATGAATTAAAATTAACACATTTTTTTACAAACTGCATTACAAGTTGTGTAAGTTTCACACAAATTTGTTTCCACTGCGATACAAGGAAGATTTGAGTGGTATACAAAATAATGTACTATATACATTATTTTTACTTAAAAATTAAATAGTTCAAATCAAAGCATAGGTTTATCTCTAAAGCAAAATATACAGACTAACATATTTTCGTGTATGTATTGTCATATAAGTTTGGTCTTGGCTACATATATATACAGCATTACATTTTATGTCAATGTATTGAAGACTACAAATAATTATTTTTAAAATTATTTCATTTCATCTAATAACTCCATGTATTTTCAGGCTGATTTAATTTTATTACTTTAGGAACGAGCATTTATAGTAGAAGACTACACTATTAGTGGAACTATGTCAGTTGTTGGAACCATTTTGTACAATATAAACACAAATAAAAAAAATAGTAAATAATGAAGAAATTCTAGTAGTGATTTTCATTATTCAATTTAAACGAGTATGTACATACATATAATATGTCAAATAAGTATAAATCAGATTGCTAATTAGTAGTACACTAATTTCAATAAACAAAAGCAGTAATACAAATGTTATATTTGAGTGGTCGGATGTATTTTAATGAAATTTAGCATAGAAGTCGATTATGTCGTGAAATAGAACAAAGGGTACTTCTTATACTAATTACTAGCTTGTTAGTAATACATTTTAAATACTTTGAGATTGACGATAAAATGTTAATTTTTTTTGAAACTATTTGAATAGTTCGCATGCACATAATAATTGATTAATTTATATTAGTATGATTCACCTTTAACAGTGACACTTACCGTCGGATTGCGTGTGATGGGAGTGGTGTGTGTGGTGGGGGTGTGCGGTGTGGTGGTGGGGCGCGGCGCCGCACATGGCGCACTTGAGCGCGCGCGGCCAGTTCTCGTACGTACATGTCTGTACAAACACAAACACCTCGCTAAACACACAATATAATACGTTTTACTGGGTGCTAGGACTCGTTAGCTTACTTCAAAAATGTAGGAGGTTTTATGTTCGACTGTACGTATTTTTATGCATATACAGCGATCTGTCAGTCAACTGTGGATGTATTTTAATTTATTTTTATTAAATAGATTATAATTCGGGAGGGGGCCCATATAAATTTGGAGAAGAAATTCTGCGCCTCAGGATGGGAAAACAGGGGAAGAAGTTTTTAACGTAACAATTTAGGCAACATTGAAATTGTGATATTCTTTACTCCATTCACAGGAAAATAGAATAAACTCGGGAAATAAAAAGTGTGAAGTGACGTCAGGGCTTTAAACATTGTTTACACTATATCTCAGCCGCGACTTCACAATGTGACATTATTTTATTATTTTTAATTGTTTGAAGTCATCTGTTACTTTTCGCTAAGTTCTGTTCCTAGCTAGGAGTCTACCTGGGTAGGCACCACCCTTATACGTATTTCTGCCTCCAAGCAGCAGAGCCTGCATCGTTATGTTCTGCTGTGTAGGGTGTAGAGAGCCAGGATAATTACAGGCTACGAGGCGTACTGTGCCGTAGTATTAGGCGTACATTACACGCTCATACAGGCTGTCAGTTTTACAACAATCACGGTTGTGATTGACGAATAACCTACCGTGTAATGCAGTGATGGACGCTTGCATGAGCAGCGCGTAATGTACGCCCTTCAGTCACCATCCGTTTTTTATCAATCATGAGCATGCATGAACGTGTAATGTACGCCTTAGGACGTGACAACGCACCTATAGTCCTTTAACTTAAACCTTTTATATAAACATCATAAAACGATTATTTTGTCATTAAACTTTTTTATGTAGAATATAGGTGACAAATGAGCACACAGTCCACTTGATGTTAAATAGATGATGTGGTCCATCGACTCTTCATTTAAACTCGATTAATAATCAAAATACAAATGTGTTGTCACCCCTGAGGACTAAGATGGAATGCCTCGTATCCAAAAACTAAAGTTAAGTATAAAACACAACAAAAAAAACTAAAACTATATCCCTGGCTAATATTTCCAATATGGACCATCGATTTCAAAGCCCATATTTTTTTTGTAGATAGTACTCACTAAAAGAAAGCTTTTTGCTAAGTTTTAGGTTGCGGAAACGTACGGTTCATGAGATATATTTTTTTAAACTTTTCATACAAATTGGTAAATAACACGCAATTACAAAATAAATTTGACAAATGATTGATGTTAAACGTCAGTTAGTGTAGGTGTTCCGAATATTTTGAAAGTATCGATACCTACTCTATACCAAGTATCGTATCAAAAATATCAATACTACTGGGTATCGAGTACATTTCGTTAATTTTGGAACGAAAAATTATGACAAACCAATTAGATGCATAGGAAGAGCTGATAAGTGCAATTATATATGTATATAAAGTAGAATAAAGTTTACTCTATTTAAGTTCCACCTTAGTACTTGTATTTCATTGTTTGCAACTTGTTTGTATTTCTTAATTAGTACAGCTTTTGTACTTTTATTTTATTGTTTGCAACTTTCTGTATTATCTAATTCTTACTACAATAAAGTGTTTACTTACTTATTGACTTACTTATTTAATATCCAAAAAGTACCCAAAACCGAATCAGAGCACCCCACTATCCACGTGGTCTTGTCTGCCCTACCCCTAGAGTGTATATAAGAGCCCGGAGGCGCGGAGGAAGAGCAGTGCCCGCCCGCCGTAGAAAAGCCGAAGCTCCGAACGGCGAGCTCAGGTGCCTGTGCTTCCCTACGCTAGGGCGGAGGCACTGCTCATCCCGTAGCGCCGGAGCTGCCACGGAGTCCCGGAGCACAACTTCCCGGCTTCTTACCCCCCTAGTCTCCAAAATTAACGAAATGTACTCGATACCAAGTAGTATTGATACTTTTGATACGATACTTGGTATGGAGTACGTATCGATACTTTCAAAATATTCGGAACCCTACACTAATTGACGTTTGACATCAATGATTTGTCAAATTCATTTTGTAATTGCGTGTTATTTGCCAATTTGTATGAAAAGTTTAAAAAAATATATCTCATGTACCGTAAGTTTCCGCAACCTAAAACTTTGCAAAACGCTTTCTTTTAGTGAGTACTATCTACAAAAAAAAATATGGGCTTTGAAATCGATGGTCCATATTGGAAATATTAACCGGCAACTCTACTAAATAATTAATATTTTTTTATTTCAATCTAAGCTTTTTACCGAAAATTTATTCATGAAGAATCACTGAGGTGAAAAATATAATTTGAAAACTCACAGAACAAGGCCACTTGTTGACCGAAGAGGCACTGGCTTGACCTTGCGGGGAGGATATTCGTAATGGTTTTAACCGTTCGGCTACTGCTTCCGCCCCTAAAAAAAAAACAAAATGATTAAATAGTATACAGGGTTAATTTTATATTACCAATAAGCTCTCAGACCATAATTCTTTATCTTTTTAAAACAATTAACCATAAAGTATCATCTTTATCTCTGTTTGATATTACTCTGTAAAAAGAGTAATCCATCGATAAGAACATTTGCTAGCCAACAAGGCGTTACCAAACTAATATGTTAAAAAAATTAAAAAAAAAAAACAAGCGAAACTCATTAAAATATCAAAATTCTATTTAAGGTACCACACAACCTAATGTATACATATAAATAAATTGAAGTTTGTTATATCAAAACAACTACCTTATATTGGACTGTCTGTCCATGCTCTTTTCGGAATAGCTGAACCTATTGTAATGAATCTTCACAAACAGATAGAGAGCAACGCCAGGAGTGTTTATAGAATAAGAGTGATGTACAATCACCCAGTCCACCTGATGGTAAGTGGATGCTGTGACCCATAGACATCTACATTTGTCCCTGATTACGAATCAAAACGTTGTTAACCTTGAAGACTTAGATGGAACGCCTTGTTTCCAGTGAAAAAGGATCTCCAGATGTCTACACTCACCATACAAAACACAGCAGCATTAAGCTACTTTTTTACGCCGGTATTCTGTAAAAGCGTGATCCTTCCTTGGTTGAGCCAATCCATTTGTGCTACAACCATAATATAGCTGCAGTGTGGCTCTACCACATATGTATAAAACGATTCAGGAAATATTTATCCTATAAACTTGGAGTTTGAAAACAAACGAAAATTCATGAAATTAATGGCCTTTGAGTACCCATCTTAAATACAAATAACGACACTTTCATAAATTCTAGCAAGGGAAGCCAGGGCGGATCGCTAGTAGTAAACATAGCACAATGGCTGCGTTTGGCAGAAAAAGCGCTTGGAAGCGCTTGTAAACAAAATGTCGATCGTAAGCGGTAAGCGCTGTCAAATCGTAAGTAGCTATTTTCCTCTAGGACAGGAAGTTAGCTTTAACCAGGGAACTTAACCTAATTTAAATATATGTTTGTAAAGTATTCATATTAAAAACTTACCAATCATGAATTTTTAATAACATGTATAATATGTTTATTCATGTCATTATATTACTTGAAACTAATATTGCACAAAACAACTTATCTCTACTTCCAAACAAAGTAAATAAGCAAAATGGCGGATTGTGTCAGCGCTACTGAAGTTAGCAAACGTGTCCTGGCCGAAAACTGTTTAGTTTCGCCATTTTGCTAGCAAGCACTTCCTAGCGTTTTTTTCTGCCAAACGCAGCCAATAAAAAGCATTGACATTTATGATATTTATAGCTCTGGTTACCACAGACGTCCTGAGTTGGCAGGGCACTTGCACCATCCTGCAGTTTAAAGATATCCTCTCCAAGTGAAGGCTTGGGCGTACGACACATTGTGCACTGTAAGAAGAGAATAAAAATTTATAACTACAATTAATCTCAATTTTTTTAAACATTACTAGGAACAAACATTATTAGGATTAAATCTTCAGGGCAGTTTATATACAAAAATTTAATTTTATAGTTCATACATTTGCCATATACTTATGGCGTAAGAAAATCCCCATCCATAGCATGCGTGTCGTCAGAGGCGACACAGCAGCATCTTCCTGATAACTCAAAATAATAAAGAAATCCAAACTTCGAGAGAATGAGACGAATGCATCAGATCAGAGTATCAGGAGTAGGATTATTGTCGGGGTTTATTTATTATAATATTGTTACCAAGTTTAAAAATTATGTTATACATCATTTCTCATCGTTCTAATTCTCTCGTAGGCTAAATCCTATGAATGTCCTTTTAGTATCGATTTTTCGTTTTTCATCAAGTTCCAAACCAAAACCATTGTAAAAAAGTTTTCACTTCAAAAACTGTGCTTGTCAGTATCTCTCTCTACGAGGCCCTCTATGGAGGAGGCCATGTTCAGCTGTGAATAAATCAATGAATGAACAACTTTATACATGAAGTATATGCAGCTACATGAAGGAACTGTACTGCATGAGAACAAGTTTACAAGAAATTTTGCCATAGTTGTCACACTAGATAGTTGCCTACATGCCTGGAGTTAGCAACTGCCGTTTTGCCCATCTTTTGGTTCAGTTTCTCTCTGACGCTTTTTACGGCACCCACAGGATAATATGGGGTGGTTGATATTCTTACACCATCACTACATGATACACACTTATGTATAGTATATTAAATTACAAAACTGCATTTCAAAGAAGTTTGTGGCGATGGCCATACTAACAACTACATAAACTGTGTTAGCCTGCCCTACCACATGGCCTAATGCTCAGAGTACCTTTATATTACTGGTTCTAGGCTTAAACATCAGCTACAGCAAGTATTTGTGCAAATATAAATATTGTTTGTTCTTGGGTGTGGGTGTGTAGTGACTATCTCAGTATCAACAATCCTTTTTTCTATAATTGTAAAAGAGATGACAATGAATAAACCACAAAGACCTCACGGCTTGAACAGATGGCGGTAAACCATCCAACCATATATCATGCCAGAAGTAATATCCAGTCTTGTCACTGGAAGCAGTACTATAGATTGAGGTAGAATCAAGTGTTAGTCATTATAATAATGAGAGTTATAGTAATAATACTAACTGAGCCTTAACAAGCCTAAACTGAATAAAATAGTTTTAATTTTAATTATGGCATATCGTTCCTATTCATGATTACAGCCCCTCATGAGTCAACTGCAGGACATCAGCATCCCCCCAACAATGGCACATTAATAGTCCTACTACTGCATGCAACAACTTCACTCTGTCTAGAGGGGAGCACTACCCTCCGCTTGCCAGTACAAAGGAATCATTTGAGAGCCTTTCTTACCATAATGGCTGTACAGTTTTATTAAGATTTTAGGACAATATATGCTGTACACTCTCAAATGCTGCCAAGTTGAGTTACATATATTGACAGCTCTTGGTAAATTTTCACTTACCTATTTAAATGATAAGCAGACTTCATATACAGTGGAATCTCGATAACTTGAATTATAAGGGAAATGCTAAATTTATTAAGTTAATAAGTTTTTAACTTAACAAGAATTTCGAGATTTTTGCCCAAACATAAACAAACAGGTACACAGACCTAGAATTTTAAATGAATGTATTCATTCATTGCATGTATACTGAAAAAAGAAACATTCCTTTTGGATTTTATTGTTGAGATTGCAGAATTCCAAGTAACATATCATTATTTACGTATGTTACGTATTTACGTGGTAGAGCCACGCTGCAGTATATAATAGTAGTATAGTTGTAGCCCCAATGGGCCGGCTTGACCGGGTAGGGACCACGCTCTCACGGAATACCAGCGTCAAATAGTAGCTTAATGCTGCTGTGTTTCGTATGGTGACTGTAGAGAACTGGAGACCCTTTTTACTGGAAATGAGGCATTCCACCTAAGTCCTCACAAGTGACGAATGCATCTGCATTTTGATTCGTAATCGAGGTAAAATGCACAGCCACAGCAACCACTTACCATCAGGTGGATTGTGTGCTAGTTTGTCACCCTATCCTATAAAACAAATTAAAACAAAAACATTATATTTTACTAACTTTAACTTAGGGGAGTCTGCTTTTTAATTTTCGGGTTATAGAGGTTAAATGTTATATCAATATATTGCAGGGAAATAACATTTTGTTCAAGTTACAAAGTCTCAATAATTCCAGATACCACACATGAGGGGTTCAGCGGTATCTAACTGAGTAGTATGACTTACCGAGGTTTGAGTTGTCGAGATTCGACTGTATATGGTTTATGGTAAAAAAAAACCTTTAAGGAAAAAGGTTTACTTGGGAGGCTGGCAACATTTGGAAACATTGTTATATACAACAGTAGTATTATGATGTGTATAAAAGTTACAAAAAAATCTGTTTATGATGTCCCCCTATTGATACATATAGATAGCATGAAGATATCTAAATATAATCATTCATAATGTACCTTGCGCGAAAGGGGAAAATTCTCATAAGTGCACATCTCACAACTCCACTTGCCCTCAGAATTTGGCACAGAGCTTGCGGTCATCTGGTAACAAACCAAAAACTTACACTTAAGTAATATTTGTCTGTTATTCTCTTTATCTTTCTTAGGGCTTCTACGGTTCCTACGGCCACAATTTGAATTCAGATTCGCATAGATCTTGACGAGATACGCCGAAAAGTAAGAATAAAATTTTTCAATATCTCACTTCTTAAATAAAAAATAAATTTTTCAATCTCGTTTCTGAAATATCAATACTCAAAAATCAAATACTAAAACCGAATCAGCATGCCCCGACTTCACCTAGTCTTGTCGCCTTTATTCCTACTATTTTTTAAAGCCGTAGGCGCAGAAGGAGTGCAGCCCCCGCCGCTGTAACTAATTGCAAGCAACTGTGCAAGCCACAGTGGCTGAAGTTGGTAGGCGATGGTGACCAATAAGTCAAAGCCACGGAGGTGAGCATGGGTGCCTGCGATTTGCTATGCAAGGGCCAAGGGGCTGCACTTCCTGTAGCAGCAAAGCCATTGCAGAAATAACTTTGGGTCAATATTCTTGTGTAAAATAAATAATTTTTGAATATCAGTATCTAGTCAGAAACTAAATGAAATATCAAAAAATTTTACTCCTACTTCATATCGAAATCTATGTGAATCTGCCTTCAAATTGGGGCACCATAAACACCATAGTTATACTTCTTTCTTATTATAACAACATTAGAATTTGCTTATAAATGCTAAATAACTCAATCTTAAGTATTATAAGGAATTATATGGTTATATAAATTTCTTTTGTTTTTTTTTTTTCAATTCAAGCTCAGAAGTTCCATTCCAGTTTCAAACAAAAAGCAAAGTCAATATGTGAAAATTTTTGAGACACTATGTGATGAGATGTGCTGTAATCTTTGAAATGCAGCCGAGCAGAGTTGAACTGGAAAACCTTTTTACTGCTACTGTGGCTTTATATCTCAGTCCTCAAGAAAGAGAATGCATCCATATTTTGATTCATCAATCAAGGGTAGATAGGGATGTCTCATAGGCCACAGGATCCACTAACCATCAGGTTAACTGTACGCCTATTAGTCAATTAAATTCTATAAAAAAAACAGTAAATTAAATGACACTAAATACAAAAAAATGTAAAATTTCTATATATGAAAATTTAGAAAGCAAAACATAAATATGAAAACCTTCCAAATTGTTACAGCCATTTCTGACAAATGAATTACATGTAAAGTCCTACAATTAACAAAAGATTATTCAATTTCACTCATAATTCCCTTTTAAAGTCAGTATAAAAAGGTAACAGAAAAACAATTTTACAATCTGAAAGTTTTAATCAACAAACCATTTATTTTAAAACTATGTAAGCAATTAAAATCACCTTAACTAATTTAAATATTTAATACACTAAATATAAAGACGGTTGCAGTACCTGCCCCAGCTGCGCGTGTGTGACATTAGTAGAAGCATCCAATTGTATTGGTATGCACTCGGCTCCTTGCACACCAGCATCTTGCGACTCGGCAACCGATACAGTCTTTTTGCTGCCATCTTTATGTGCCTCCTCGCTCATTGTACCACCATCAAAAAATCATAGAAGTAACCTTATTACAACTATGGCTTATAATAATAACTATAAAGTAAGCATTGTAATGTACTGTAGGTGGGTGTTTTTGTTAGTCTTCAATGGTGAGATCTCTATTATTTATTTATAGCTCCTATATCTGAAAAAAAAATTAATATTAAAACCTGGAAATGTGTTATTTAAGTCACTGTTTAGCATTTATAACTACTTACACGTAGCTCCGTGTGACTATAAAGTGCAACGTTAAGCAAATTTTATTCATTAACTTCCTATTGGATATTTTGACAGAAAATCATGTTGTTCATCTAAACCTTATTTTGTCCAACATTAACTAGATAGTTAATAGGAGAATTAGTATTTAGTTTTGTAGTCATTACACAACATAAATTGCATCGAGATTTCGATGGCCAAACTAAGGTCAAGAACGAGAAATGAAGCATACAATTCACTCACTCAAGACGATGCGATGACTACGGAAATGGAGCTCAATGCGAAGATTCGTTTTTGGACTTTTACACTTTGTTATTAGTTTTTGGCTGCTGGGTAACATTCACAGAAAGTATAGGAACCAAATTGGGATTCATAGGACAACGAAAGAAACAACGAAGACTAGGTAATTATGTTTATACGGTATTCTATTTTGACATAAATTTGTGACAAATCTGAGTCTGGATCTGTTGCATAGATAAATAAATATGGTCTGTTGCACAGACTAATAAGAGGATACTACGGTCTGTTGTGTCAGTCTGAAACTCCCCCAAAACATGAAATATACTCTTTGCACGAACCTTTATCTTTGATCTGTATTTTTAAAATTCTATGGTCTGAAACAAGGAGAGAAACGAGATAGTTTTTTTTAACAATGATAAAATAAGATAGAAATATCGTTCTATTAAAATAGTTTTGGCTTTGTTTGGTTTGCGGTTGCATTTGGCTCATTGAAACTTAGAGTGGTCTAGCCAATGAAAATGCAGACTAAACCTCAAACCGCCGTGTTGTCGTCTGCATGGACTGTGGAGTCCTGCAGGTCTCGGGCCTCGGGGTATGCCCCCATTGCCCGGACTTTCCTCATGGCCCACCACTATGGGCCAGTCCTAGGAGCCTTTAACAGGCTTGGTAATCCAGTACGGATGTTCCGTAGTAAGAAAAAAATTTTTTTTTTCCCGTAGTCGGTTAAACTACGGGAAAAAATGAGGTTGTCCAGTAAAAGTTGAAGTTGGCCTATCAGCGGCATTGAGGGTTGTTACTCGACTCTCTAATCGCTATAGAGAGGAGTTCTCTTGGAAAAGGTCGCCCGTCCGGGAGCCGGGTGTGCATCGGCGCGAAGCCGTTGAGGTGTTCATGTGGCCGGTTGTCGGCGCGGTCGAACATGCCGCGCGCCAGCCGGGCCACGAAGTCGGTGATGGTCTCGACTTTTAGATCGGCCGCTATTACGTCATTCGGACGTAGCGACCTGCTCCGACGATCGTCCTTAATGTCAGATTCTGCTGGGCCTGCAGTCGCCACCTCAGAGGGTCACTCAGAAGCGCGTACCAGGCCGGAGCAGCGTCGGTGATAATGGTCCGGATATACAAGATGTATGTCCGGAGCTTGGTCTTGATCAGCAGCTTGGATGCCAGGACCGGCAAGAGCGTCGCCCGCGCACATCGGGCTCTGCAGACGACGAAGTCGACGTGCGCGGTCATGCGCAGCGTCCTGTCAATCCGGCACCCAAGATAGGTCACGGCCTTCTCGTACGCGATCTTCTGGCCATTGAGGATCAGCGGAGGTGGTAGATTTCTGAGACGGCGAGTGAGCAGAGCGGTCGTCTTACCAACGTTGACATCCTCCACTCGTCCAGCCATGGTGGCAATAGGTCCAGCAGACGCTGCATTCTGGCAGTAGCTATACGACGAATTCGACGTGCGCGGTCATGCGCAGCGTCCTGTCGATCCTGCACCCAAGGTAGGTTACGGCCTTCTGGTACGCGATCTTCTGGCCATTGAGGGTCAGTGGAGGTGGAAATTTTCTGAGACGGCGAATGAGCAGAGCCGTCCAGCCATGGTGACAACAGGTCCAGCAGACGCTGCATCCTGGCAGTGGCTATGTGGGCTCTTCTGTGTGAGTACGAGGTGAAATAGGCGCTATCGTCCGCATATAGCGCCAGCTCAACGTCGTCCTCCCACTCTTGGCCTGCCTGCCAGTGTTGGGATGTCGTTAGCATAAGCCGCGTACAGAACTGGAGACAAACAGCTGCCCTGTGGAACGCCGGCTCTGATGGATCTGGTTGCGGACTCGGCGTCCTCTACGCAGATCTATAACTTCCTGTCTTCCAGGAAAGACGCCACTAGCCGCAACATAGCAAGAGGGACACTGGTCTGTTCATACAGCTTATAAAGCAATCCTGAGTGCCACACCCTGTCGAACGCCTTCTCGATGTCGAGAAAGACACCCAACGATATGCGGCCACGATTGTACTCTGCGGCAAGCAGTTGCAGCACTCTAGTCAACTGTGTGAATCTAGAGTGACCCCTCCTGAATCCGTGCTGCTCCGCCCGACGTTGGATGCACGGACGGAGACGTCTTAGCAGTAATCTTTCTAGAAGTTTAGCTATGTGCGGTAATAGCGTGATCGGCCTGTAGCTGGCAGCTCTACGCCTGTCCTTCCAGGGTTTCGGCAAGACGATGACTTTGCCTTTCTGCCAGTCCTCCGGGAAGTGGGATGTCCGCAATATCCCATTGTAGAGTCGACCAAGCTCTACTAGGACTCTATTGGGCAGCTGTCGGAGTGCAGCGTTGGTAATCCCATCGTGCCCCGGCGCCTTCCTCGGTTGCAGGCGGGTTACTGTCCTCCGCAGTTCAGCGGGGGGAGATGAACCACTCTCCTGCAAGAGGCGGCGCGGGCGACGACAGGAACTTCTGTACGCGACTTTCCTTCCGGGCATGAAGCTCCATGAACTCCGCACTTGCTGGGTTCGGCATAAATTGCTCCTCGAAGTGCTCGACTAGGATATCCGCTCTGCCCTTGGCATCGTAGCAGCGTTCTCCCACGCTGTTGGTCAGCGGGCAAACGGGAGGTCTGGTTTTGGTCAACTGTTGGTTCAGTTTATAGAGCAACTCATCATGCTCATCCGCCTTCCAGATGCGCCGATCCCAGGCCTCTCCTCTGAAGGCCTGGACTGCAACCGACAGTTCCTCCGATAAGGTTTTAAGTTGCTTTTTCAATCTAGGGCAGCGAGTGCGCGCCCAGAGCTTCCTCAACGCTCTCTTGCGCCTGATCTGCACGCATATCTCTCGCGGTAGATCGTCTCGCCTTGCAGTGATCGGGACGATCGTAGAGGCCGCGTGGAGGGCCTCCTGGATGTTCTTGGTAATTCTAGTAGCAGCGGTTTCTACGTCGTCCGCTGTGCTTATGGGATGGTGGACTGGAGGTTTCTCCTGTATGTAGGCAATAGAGCCTCGAGTCGACACGTGTCTTGAATGCTCTGGGCGGCGTTGTCACCGCCTTTAGGCCAAGGGTTATCAGAATCGGGAGGTGCTGTGAGCTGAGGTCGTACAGCACTTCTACCACTATCAGGTAGTTGAAGTTCCTACTGAGCACGATGTCCAATACATCCGGACGTCTCCGTGGATCAGATGGAACGTGTGTCGGTTCTTCGGGACCTAATACGTCATAGCTGTTGTTCTCCGCGTCTTCGTAAAGTTCAAGACTCGGCGGGGTGATCACTCTGGACCCCCACGCCGGGTGCTTGGCGTTTAGGTCCCCGGCGATGATGGTGGGTGTTTCGCCTTCCATCACCGTCCGGATGTCTGAGGAGCAGAATGGAGTCCCTGGCGGGCGGTATGCTGCGTAGATCCTTAGTTCCTCGCCCGCCGCCTCCATTCTTATGCCGATAGAGCGCATTGTCTGGTATGATGGTAAATCCAGCTCTTGTTGGACGATGTCCCTCCTCACTAGAACCGCCGTCCCTCTGTAGGCAGCCCCTTGACAAGTGACCTCGTCCCTTCTGTATAGATGGTAGTTTGGCAGCTTTATATGCGTCTTTGGATATAACTTTGTCTCTCCCAGCAATATGACATGTAAGTCCTGTTGTTGGGCGACTGTGCGGAGTTCATGCAGCTTCTGCTGTATTCCGTCCGGGTTCCAATAGAGGAGGCGCAGATTACTCTCCTCCGTAATGCCGGGCCAGGAGGTTTGCCAGCGCCTTCATTATCGCGGTTACTGGGTCGGTCCCGGCTCTTATATCGGCCAGGACTTGTGTGCCGACCTCAATGGCAATGCCAACCAGTCGTTGGATTGCATCTGCTGTTTCGAGGCCGGCAGTAGGTGGTCTCCTATATGAAGGCGTTGGCACTGGTCTCGGGTGTTGATAATCCTGCACTCTTGGCTTATGGGTAGAGCGCTCTATGTGTAGAGCGGGCTCTATTTTCAGATAGAGCCCTTTCTGGCACTCTACCCACGCTCTTTTTGGTTGTCTCCCGAGTAATCTGCGCCTGTGAGGCTACTGGTCCTGTTGGTGTCGGGGTAGAGGTAACAGCCTGAGGAGGCTGCGACTTCTTCCTGCTCCTCTCGTTCGCTCACTTCTTTTAACGTTCTGTGGCGGGGTTGGCGGGGGGCTGTAGAGTCGCCCCCGGTGGTTTCCCTTATCTCTGCGGGTTCCACCGTTTCCATAGGTGTTACGGGGGGGGGGGGAGGGGGGGGTCTGGTTGCCCATCCTTTCCTGTGATGGTTGCCCACCCGTCTTTCTGGATAGTTACGGCTTTTGGGCGACTCTGGAGGATCTATTTCGGGTCAACCGGGAGTAGCACCGGCAAAGTTATCCCCTGCCTCCTAGCAGTCCTCCTCAGGACTGGGCTGCGGCGGTCATTTGTCGTGTGGTTTTTGCCACAGTTGGCGCATTTAGGTTCCTCCTCTCTACCCCGAGGGCAAAGGCTCGCTATATGCTCCCCGGCGCAGCGCACACACTTCACTGGCCTGAAGCAGTTGGCGGAGGCATGTCCGAAGGCCT